TGGTTTTGGTAGAACTAGAGGACTTTGATTAGTTTGATATGTTAGATGAGAGACAAGTTAGATTTGCTAAACTTAAACTTGTAGACTGTTGAACAAGAGAAGAGAGGAGGAAGAGAGAAAGAGAAGAAGAGAAGAGAGGAGAGGCGAGAGGACTGAATACCTCAAAAGAATGCTTCAGGCGAGAGAAGCAGTTGTTATTTATACTATACTGGTCGTACAACATAAAGAATGGAAAAATTACAGAAATACCCCTGCGGTACTAAACCTGTATACAACAACATCTGTCAACATAGACCATGCAAAAGTATGGTGGAGTGTGGAGAACAGATTTTAGAATATGAGTAAGCGTCCTATCACCCGTTGGGAAGATATGAAGCATTACTTGGAGGAGAAATATTTGCCTAATGACTTCCAAGATGCTCTTCATGATAAGATGATGACATTGAGGCAAGGCAACTTATCTGTGTCTGAGTACATGCAAAAGTTTGATGAGCTTACTATTAGATGTTAGTCTACAGAAAGTGAGAAGCAAAAATTAGCCCAGTTTCAAAATGGTTTAAGGGCTGATATTCAAAGTGAAATGATGACTGCACGAATTCATGATGTAGATGATGCTTTTCATGTGACTCTTAAAATAGAGAAGAGCTTAAGCAAATGAATAAGAGGTTTGGCATTCAAGCTCGGGAGGCAACAACATGTAAGTGTTTAAATGAGGGTAGCCACTAGACCTACATCTCATAATGCTGTTCCAATAAGGTATAATGGTTCCAAGTATCAGGGAGCTGATAACGAGGGGAAGAATATCATGATTGATTCTAATAAAAGGGGAATAACATAAAATACTTGTTTCAAGTGTGGTGGAAAGGGTCACTATGCATTTCAATGCCTTAATAAAAATCTATACATAGGGTGTGAGAAGGAAGGACAAGTGGAAGATGATGAAGGTCTTAGTAAAGAAGAGTACACTGGATTTGTACATGAAGAAGAAGATGACAACAATCTCATTGGAGTCGTTAGATGCATTTTATCATCCTCTAAAGAGGAAAAGAAAGAAGATTGGCTTCGTACAACTATCTTCCTCACCTTTGTCAAGAGCAGATACAAGCTTTGCAAGCTAATAATTGATGGTGGTAGCAGCATGGATGTGGTTTTTGCAACAACTGTTGAAAGGCTCAATCCAGTTGCACAACCTCATCCTCAACCATACAATATTGCTTGGTTAAACAAGATGACACTTCAGTTTGAACAAAGAGCTCTTGTTTCTATTTCCTATGGGTCTTATGTTGATGATATTTGGTGTGATGTTGTTCCTATGAATGTTACACATTCTACTAGGCTGACCATGGCTTTACGATAGGGATGTATATCATTGTGGGAAAGAGAATGCATATTACTTTCTATTTAATGGAAAGAGAATTGTTATGAAACTTGTCACTTGATGAGATCAAGAAGCATAATAAGACCCCTTAAAAGGCAACTCCACCCCAGAAAGTTGAATAAAAGAAGCAACCTCTATTGCTGCCCAAGAAGCAATTTGAGGAGGAAAGCAAAGAAACATGCCTTGTTTATGCCCTTGTAGTGAAAGAAGTGAATAAACCAGCACATGTCCCTATTTCAAAGGTGCCTAAGGAGGTTGGAGACTTGCTGGCTGATTTTTCAGATTTGATCCCAAAAGAGTTGCCAGATGAATTACCACCTCTACGTGATGTCCAACATGCAATAGACTTGATTCCCGGGTCTTAACTACCTAATTTGCCTGCATACCAAATTTATCCCATAGAACATGTTGGTTGAAGAAGCAAGCAGATGATCTATTGAACAAGGGCTTCATTAGAGAGTGTCTTAGCCCATGTGCTGTACTGACTCTATTCACTCCCAAGAAGGATGGCTCATGGAGGATGTGTGTTGATAGTAGAGCAATCAACAAGATTATAATCAAGTACCGGTTCCCTATTCCATGCTTAGATGACATGTTGGGTATGATGAGCAGAGCTACAATTTTCTCTAAGATTGATCATAGAAGCGGATGACACTAAATTAGAATTCGAATTGGAGATGAATGGAAAACGGCTTTTAAGACAAAGGATGGCCTCTATGAGTAGCTAGTTATGCCTTTTGGCTTAACTAATGCTCCTAGCATTTTCATGAGAGTTATGACTCAGGTACTTCGTCCTTTTATTGGTCGTTTCTTGGTTGTTTACTTTGATGACATTCTTATATATAGTCATACTCTTGATGATCATCTTGACCATTTACGTAAAGTGATGAGAGTTTTACACCAGGAAAAGCTCTACATCAACTTAAAGAAGTGGTCTTTTATGACACCTACTGTTATCTTATTAAGATATTTTATATCCACTAAAGGTGTCAAGGCTGATCCTTACAAGGTGAAAGTTATACTTGATTGGCCCACCCCCACTAACATCCATGAAGTGAGAAACTTTCATGGATTGGTTACTTTTTATATGGCATCAATTACAGAAGCTATGAAAAAGGGGGAATTTATTTGGTCTAAGGCTGCAACTAAAGCCTTTGAGATTATCAAGCAAAGGATGACTGAGACCTAGGGCTGTCAATGGGCCGGTTCTGGGTTGGAACCAAGTAGAACTGGTCCCAGAACCGATAAGAGAACCCATGGACCCAAAACCGACCTAGACCCTATGGGGTCTATAATTTTGGACCCAAAACAAAATCGATCAGTTCCTGGGACAATCAGGTCCAACCCGACGGACCCGATTATGCATGCTAATAATATCCCTACTAAAAATGCAATTAAAACACTATAAAAACCTAAAATGTAATAAAAATCTCAAAATATTTAAATGGAGGAAGATTTCACATTTCAGAATAATATTTAAATGGACGACCAATAGTCCGATAATGGCTACTAGGTAGTGGTGGTGGTGGCGGAGGCCTAATGGTGATGATGGTGGACGAGAAGTGTTTTTCTGGCTGCAGATGCTCAAGACTTCAAACATTGAATAAATCATTAAATCCTACTTGACAAAGGGTGTTACTATTGACGCCTTGACGGACAGACGGACAACTGGTCGTCGGACAGACGCATGATGGATAGACAAATAGATGAATGACGGTAGCGTTGTGCAATGGCTGATGTGCCTCCAACTTCCACTCTCCAGATGAACATCACGGACCAGACCACAGTCACTGAGTTACCACTCACCAGAAAACTTCCTCTTTGGCTCTTTCAATTTTCGATTTCGAATGAGAATTGAGATGAGAGATTGAAAGACCAGTCTTCAGACTCTTCACTCTTCAGAAATGAAAAGGTTTAGCCGTTTAGGGGGCTGGGGGCAACATTTCGGTAGGGTTTTGAAGGAAACCCACTGAAATGACACTTTTAGCCCCTTCTTATTTAAATTTATAGTATATAACTGTTATGGGCCCGGGCGTAGGATCTCGACACGGGTCGGTCCACGGGGAGAACCTCTAGCTTTCCCTTGCCCCTCCCTTTGCATGTAGACCCTATCGTGGCAACCTAAGGGGTGATTTGTCCAAGAGATCATCCTAACTCTCCTCAACTCTTCTCTTGACTGAAATTCTTGGATGCCTTTACTCTCTAGTCGCAGCTCCTTAAATAGGAGATTACAAGAGGTGAGGGTCCTCCTTGTAGGACTCCTTGTTGAATTTGACTACTTACAGATAAGACTCCTAACTTGGGAAGGATAAGGCTTCTCTAAGATAAATCAAACTCCTACTACTCTTCTAATAAATAAAGTAAGAACATATAAGAACAGATAAGAGAAACTGCTAAAGATAAGCTGTTGCTGGCTAATGATAAGATAAGCTGCTGCCCACGTGGGCCCCGCATCATTGCTGCTGTCGGCGGTGGTAAGTCTTCCCCATGAACGCATCCACAACAATAACATAGGGTTGGGTTGGGTCCAAATCAGTTCGGGACAAGGTGGACTCGGTTCCGACCCAATAGTAATCGGGAAATTATTTTAAGACCCTGAACCGACCCATCAGGACAAGTTTTGGAACCAGAACTGGTCCAATCGGTCCGGGCCCATCGGGTCTGACCTGACCCATTGACAACCCCAATGTTTTAAAAAGTGCAAGGCGAGACACACACCTTTTTCAAAAAAGCACACAATTTTTAGGAAATGTAAAAAAATTGAAAAATATATAAAAATTAAAAAAAATCAGAAAAAATACAAAAACAATACAATCTTAATTTCCAAGAGTTAAGAGTTAAGATATGAGTATGACAATGTAAAGTTCTAATTTCTATTCTAAAATCTAAACTCTGAAGTCTAAAGTTCTAAACAATTAAATAATTAAAATAACATAATAAGTTAGTTACTAACAGTCTAACATAGTATCAATTATCAAATTCAAACTATCAATGATTCAAATAATGAAATAATCATATTATTCAAATATAAAAAGATGTTAAAGCAATGTCATTGTCACCAATGTGCTTATAAATTACAAAGATGAGATACAAAAATACAAATATTAAAAAAGTTAAGAAACATATCTCTCTAAGTCCAATATCCGTGGCTCACACATACGAATTATGTCATATACTCGTTAAAATTAATCATCTACAATGGACAAGCAAATGAGGAGTGACAAAGTATTTAATATCATAATTCCGTAAATAATGAACAAGAATACAAACATAAAAGAAGTTATTAAAAGAAAACTTACCTCTCCAAGTCCAAGTCTCCACTCTCCATGGTGTTAAAGTTAAACAATCAAGCCTCAATAGTCAATACCACTTATGACTTAGCGACTTATCACGACCACTAAATCTGAAATCACATCTAATATCTAGTAAGTGGTAATCAGTAAATTCACACATGACACAAATTCACATTCACATCATTGATGATTGATCAAAATTCAAGATCAATAGTCAATATTAACAAAAAACAAGTATGGCATGACGTGACTGGCGTCAAAATAAGAAAAAAAAAAAACGCAAGTCAGTCTTAAACAAAACAAACAAAAAAAGAGTAGATCTTCATTCTTCAAGCCTGTAAAACAAGTTGGCTGAAATAAATTACTCTACAAGTGTCACACATAAACTCTTCATTTCCATAATCGTCTTCCTCATCATCTTCTCCATTTGGAAGTTCAACTTCATCATCCTCATCAGAATTATAGTCTCCCAATGCCTCTCCCGATTCTTCTTCCTCAAATTCTTCATTTTCCAAACGAAGTTGAGAACTTGAACCCCCTCTAGACCTTCTTGCATTGGTTGATGTTGTTGCTCTTGCATGAGAAATTGAAGTTACACTTGAACCTCTATTTCTTGTGTTCCTTATTGGCTCTTCGACTCCCAAAGCAAGAGCCACATCTCCCCATGTTAAAGAATCATCGTCTAATACCAAATCATTTTCAACTCCACTAACTTCACGTGCCATCTCCCCTAATAACCATTCGTTACTTTCATCTATATCTTTCAAAGATATAGGGTCAGTGACATCTGTGAATCAAAGTTCTCTTTAAGCAACTGGTTAAACTTAATGAAGACTAAGTCATTCAAGCGATTTTAATCCAATCGATTCATTTTTTTTGGTATGGATTTGCATAATTTCATAAAACATAAGATTGATTAATAAAATTAGAAGTTTAAAACTAAAAGAGTAGAATATAATGTTAAAATCTTAAGTGAAATTTTAATTACATGCTCAATTACACTCCAATTTCTCTCACATCCAGATGCACTGCATGTCAAACTAAGAACTTTAATTGCAATCTTTTGTAAATTTGGAGCCGAAACACCATATGAAACCCACTAATCAGATGTAAAAAAATTAAATAATAACAAAAAATTAATTAAAATTTTATTTAAATACATAAAAAATACTAAATAATTAAATAAACAAACTATTAAGTCAATGTTACTTACCAACTACTTTCACCTTTTTCTGCCAAATAGTCATATCAAGACCAAAAACACCGTCTGCATTTTTATATTTGTTTATCTCATCAATGATTGCATTGATCTTGTTTTTGTCCTTCTCAAACAATTCAATTACTTTATAGAGCCTAGTGATGGTTTCTTCTTCATCTGAATTAATCTTTTCAGCATCATCATAGTAAAACTCTGGATTTAAATAGAAGCCTGCTGCGTGCAATGGTTGGTGGAGTTGACACTCCCACCTCTTATCAATGATTTCAAAAATGTGTTTATATTTTTCCTCGTGTCCACTAAATGCACTTGCAATGGCTTCCTTTGCCCTATCCATGGCTTCATAAACGTAACACATTGAAGGCTTGTTCCCACAGTCCACCAATCTCAAAACCCGCACAAGTGGACTACACGCCTTAAGTGTGAAGATGATGTTGTTCCAAAAAGTGGGCATCATCACCATCTCCCCTAACCTTCTCCCCTTTATTTCCTTCACCCACTTGCTTTCATTCCAATCCTTTGAATTAAAAAGATCTCTCAAGTTCTTCTTCCGTTTATAAATGCTTTGCAGAGTGAGAAAGGAAGTGACAAAGTGGGTCTTTGCTGGCCGGAGTAATTCTCTTTGGTTTGTGTACTTCCTCATTAAATTTAACAACCCTGAATGATTATAAATATATCTTGTTAGTGCAATAGCCCTTTCAATTGTTTTACTTATAACCGACAACTTTCCAATATCTTCCAAAATCAAATCCAAACAGTGGGCAGCACACGGGGTCCAAGTTAAATGAGGGTGTTTTGCCATAAAAAAATTCCCTAAAAGGCAATAGCACAATAAAATAATCAAACATGTATAAATTGAAAAGTTAAAGACTACAAAAAATAATGACAAATAACATTAAAGAAATTATAAAAATAAAAAAATTTACTAGCTAAAACATAGTTTGAAGCATTGTCTGTGATCACTTGAAGAAYWTTCTTTGCCCCTATTTTCTCCACCATCTTGTCAAGTAATAAAAACAACCTTTCAGCTGTTTTCACCTCATTTGAAACCAAAAAGTTTATGAGGGTCCTGTCTTTTCTGTCCATCCACCCATCAGACATTAAAGAACAGCCCCACTTTTTCCACGCCTCCTTGTGGTGTTGCAGTAATGTTTGTGTGTTCCACTTATTTTTTTTAAAAGAGGAACTTGCATCTCATAATAACTTGGGGCTTTGTACCCCGGTCCATATTGTCCAATTGCCTCCAACATTGCCTCAAACTTTTTAAACGAATGGTATTTAAAGGAATACCTGCTTGATAGAACCATCTAGCAACAAGCAATAGAAACTTGTTCTCTTGCCTCTTTGTTATATGCATCGCTAATGGTTATTTGCTTCAATCTTTTCTGCTCCCTTCTCATTTCCACAACTTATTTTGGGCCAGTTGTAGAAATAAATCTATCCATGGGGTCCCTTTGTCATTTTATGGGTGGTGGCCTATTGGGTTTAGAACTTGATTCCTTAGTCATAGACCCCAAAGGCCTAGTCTTTGAAGTTGCATTTACACTACCAAATCTCCCTTGGCCACTAACTCCAAGTATGTGAACATCATCTCCCAAATCATCTTCATCTTCAACCATATTCTCAAAGTCATCAAAATCTAAAATGCGAGTGCCCTCTTCTTCCCCACTCATACTTTCTTTCACAGATTTTTTTTGTCCATATAAGCCAAGATCTCTTCTCTCACATCTTTAGGACATTTAGTACAAGCTTTTGTACCACCAATGATGTGTTCCTTGGCTCTATAAATTCCTCCATTAGTAATTTTTCCACAAAAATTACATGCCACTACTGCATTGGTGTTCTTGGGATCTTGCAAGTGACAATATTTCCAAGCTGGATCCCTTCTATTTCCATGAGTTCCTTGGCTTTCTTCCTGACTAGCACTCAGATCAGCCATTTTTTATTAAATATTCTTGCACGGAACTACAGAAACACCTTAATCCTAAATCAATGAAAAAAATTAAATTAACTATTAAGTTGCAAGTATGACTGAATTGAAAAATAAGAAAAAATAAAAACTAAACAAAGATACAACAGAACTATAGAACTAAGTGTGTTTACCTTTACTTGAACTAAATGTGATGTGAATCCACAAGATTCACAACAAAACACTGATGATAAAATTAAAATAAATCAGTAGAAGAAATAAATAAAGAATGTGTAAAATGATAAAATCAATGAAAACCAGTGGAAAGAAAAAAGAAACTAAGAAAGAAATAAAGCAGGGAGGAAGAAGAAGGGGGCGTGGAAGAAAAAAAAATAAAGTGGAACAGTGGAAGGAAAAAAAAACAGAAATGAAGAAATAAAGAAAGAAGAAGAAGAATTAGGGCTGGAGCCCCTGTTTTCAGTGCAACTATGCAACCAGTGAGGAAAAAAAAAACAAACAGGGAAGAAGAAGGGGGTGGAGCCCCTGTTTTCAGTGCAAACAGCATACTAGTGAGCAAAAAAGAAGAAAAAAAAAACAAAATACAGTGAAGAAGGGGCGGAGCCCCTGTTTTTGGTGCAAATCAGTGGTTAAAAAAATGAGATGAATAGGGAAGGAGGAGGAGGAGGGGAGGAGCCCTTGTTTTCGTTGCAAATACAGTGAAGAAGAAGGGGCTGAGCCCCTGTTTTTGGTTTAAAACAGCGATGAAAAGAACCAATGAATAAGGAAGGAGGAGGAGGGGTGGAGCCCCTGTTTTTGGTGCAAACTAGAGAGCAAAAAAGAAAAAAAAAGTAAATATACAGTGAAGAAGAAGAAGGGGTGGATTCCTTGGTTTTCGGTGCAAACCAGAGGAAAAAAAAACAGAAGAAGACTAGGGCGGAGCCCCTGTTTCACAATCCTAAACAGTTATGGAAGAAGTATTTTTGATTGAATATGGGCAATATGCTGCTGTTCCTCCTGGAGTTTGAACATGCAATTGCTGTTGTTCCTTCTTCTTCCAGCCTTTCGAAGACAACTATTCGACTTTCCCACTATTTTCTATTATTTTTACTATATGATATGCAATAGGTGTAAAAAAAATAAAAGATAAACACCTTTTATACATGCTAACAATTATCTATCAACTAAAAATATAAAAATAATCCAAAATTTTTGAAAACGTTAATAAGGCACTCGCTTGGGCCGCCTGGCGCCTGGCCTAAGGCGCACGCCTAGGCGCCAATGTGAGCGCCTTCCTGAGGTGCACGCGCCTTAGCCTGGGCGAGGCGCATGGCCAGAAATATGCCTCGCCTCTATGCCTCAAGCGCCTTTTAAAACACTGGACAGCCCTATTGAGATCCCATTGTTACAATTGCCTAACTTTTCAAAAATCTTTGAGCTTTTTTGTGAAAAGCTTAATGAAGCTAGACAAAAGTACTCCACAGATGACAAGGATTTCTATGTTGTTGTGCAATGTCTTCGACATTAACATCATTATTTAATTTCCCAAGAGTTTGTTTTGTATTCAGATCATGAGGCACTCAAATATCTCAAATTTCAGAAGCATCTTAGTAGTTGACATTAGAAATAGGCTGAATTTTTAGCAGAATATAATTTTGTAATTAAGCATACAGCTGGTGCCGAGATTCGAGTAGTCGGTGCATTGAGCCGAGTGGTGTATATACTTCATTCTGTGTCTGTACAGGTTATGGGGTTTGATCAATCGAAGCAAGATTATGCTAGTAGCAAGGATTTCAGCATTATTTATGGTTCTTTATAGGTTGGACAACAATCTGAATATCCTGGCTTTTCTATCCATGATGGTTATTTGTTCAAGGGAACTTGCTTGTGTTTTCTTAACACTTCACTACGTGATTATGTTATATGGGGGTTACATGTAGGTGGAATTGTTGGGCATTTTGGTTGGGACAAGACCAATTGCTATGATAGAAGATCACTTTTATTGGCCTAGCCTTAAGGCTGATGTTGATCATTTTATCAAATAGTGCAGAATTTGTCAATTGGCAAGAAAGAAAAATACAGGGTTGTACACCCCTTTACCAATTCCACATGAGCCTTAGCAAGATCTCTCTATGGATTTTGTCCTAGGTCTGCCCCAATGTTTTAAAACGTGGAGGCGTGATGCGAGGCGTTCCACTACCTAGAGGCGTGAGGCGTACGTAGTTCAGATCACAAGAGGTGTAAGCCTCCTGAACACAGGGAGGTGTAAGCCTCCTTAAGAGGAAGAAAGAGGAAGGGGAGGAGGATGAAGAGGAAGGGGGGATATCATTTTTTCTTTATTTTTAATAAAAACCTTTAGTTTAGATCACAAGAGGTGTAAGCCTCCYGAACACARGGAGGYKTAMGCCTYCTTAAGRRRAGRGGAAGGGGAGGAGGATGAAGAGGAAGGGGGGATATCATTTTTTCTTTATTTTTAATAAAAACCTTTTATATTAAGAAGAATAAAGATGCATAACATTAGTTGAAAGGGGGCAAACCACTTTCTTTCTCCTTATCTTTTCTTTTCTTTCCTTTTCTCTCTCTCTTTTTTTTTCTCTTCTTTTTCTTTCCATTCCCTTTCTTTTCTTTTCCTTTCCTTTCCTTTCCTTTTTTTTCTTTTTTCCTTTTTTTTTGTCCTTTTATATAAGATGTGCACGGGGTGCATGAGGCATACGCCTCTAGCACGCCTCATGAAAAAAGCACATGAGGTGTACACCTCAGAGATGTCAGCGCCTCCCCTGGAATTGTGGTAGATAGGTTCTCAGAAATGGGCCACTTTATTCCTTGTAGTAAGACATCAGATGCCTCACATGTGGCAAACATATTCTTTAGGAAAATTGTTTGTTTACATGGTGTTCCTGTTACTATTGTTTCTGATTGCAATGTTAAGTTTACGAGTTGCTTTTGGAAGACACTTTGGAAACTCCTTAATACAAAACTGAAGTTCTCATCTTCTTTCCATCCTCAGACTAATGGCCAAACTGAGGTAGTTAATAGGAGTCTCGGTGATTTGCTACATTGCTTAGTTGGTGATCATACTTCCAAGTGGGATCTCATCCTACCTATGGCTGAATTTGCTTACAACAGTTTAGTTAACAGGTCAACTAGAGGAAGTCCCTTTAAGATAGTTACTGGAATTCAGCCTAAGAGGCCTATTGATTTAGTGTCTTTGCCACAAGATGCCAGGACTAGCATAGAGGCTGAAGGCTTTGTTTGCCACATGAGAAGTTAGATGCAAGATTGCTCTTAGCAATGATGTATACAAGGGCAAAGCTGATTTACAAAGGCGCCTAGCTGATTTTCAAGAGGGTGATATGGTTATGGTGTGTGTTCGTCCTGAACTCTTTCCTAAGGGCTTTTATAAGAAGCTTCACTCCAACAGTGCAGGCCCCTACAAGATCCCAAAGAAAATCAGTTCTAATGCCTATGTCCTAGAGCTGCCAAGCGATATGGGAATTAGCCCAATCTTCAATGTTGAAGACCTAAGTGCATATCATGGCCATAGTGATTATTCCACAATCCCATTTCCTAAGCTTCCTTTGGTTCCATCTATTGATGTGCCTAAGACATCCTTGATGAGAAGTTGATTTCTACAGCAAGTGGGGGTTATCAAAAGTTTCTTGTAAAGTGGAAGAATCTACCTCTTTCTGAGTGTTTATGGATTACAGCTGAAGACTTGTATCATTTTAATTTAGAACTTATGAGCAATATCATGCCTTTAACTCACCAGGTCCAGGCATTATAAGACCTATTCTTGTAAGAAGGCCAACAAACAGGTTCTAATATGGCATGGAGAAGACTCTTGGGACTTGGACTGATCTGGTCAGGGGTATTATCGTCGTTTTGACCAGTCCCATGTGGGCTTGGGCTATTGCATCTTGTTCCTCTAGCTTAGTAGTGCTTCTCTTTCAATTTTCAGTTTATTTGCATTAGTAGGTAGAAAGTGGCTTTTTTGTAATTATGGTGAACAGTATTCCGGGCCACACAAGTATTCTCTTCCTTTTGAAGCTATGAAGATTTCTTTGGAGCTCTCTTGCAAGTTTGCTGTATGGAGTGATTCCTACAAACCCTAGAGTGATTCTAGGACCCTTGGAATGATTTCTTGGGATTACTCTCTTCTCTTCCTCTAACCATCTCCTCTCTCTCTCTCTCTCTCTCTCTCTTTCTCTTTGTCTCTCTTTCTGTCTTGTGATAGTTCGTTCCAGCTCTATTGCATCAAGCTTGGCCACAAGTGGCACTGCCATCTCAAGAAAAAGACAAACTATTATGGTTTGGAAACCTCTAGAAGGTACCAAGATTAAACCAAATTTTGATGGAAGCTCATTTGGGCAATTTGGGTTTGGCAGGAATAGGTGTTTTCAGAGATTCAGATGGCAGGGTGGTGGCTTTATGTGCAGGACCTATTGGTGTTGCACACTATCTGAAAGCATAAATGTGTGCATTGTTCTAAGGGCTCCGATTTGCAAAGCAATTGGGATATTGACAGGTGGAGGTGGAAGGGGATTCTAAAGTAGATATTTGATAGCCAAGATGCAGCAGTCATGTTTTGTGGACTTTTAGGCATGCCTTTAGGGAAGTGGAAAGAATTTTCCAAGTTTTTAAATGTAGATTTCAAATGGGTTAGAAGGACTACAGATGGGAGGGCTGATACCCTTGCTAAATAGGGATGAACTGTGGCATATTGTAATTCTGAGCATTCATGGGCAGCTAGACAATGGGTAGGATGCT